AACCTGTGCAAGCAAGAGTAGTGCAGTAAATTATGTCTGCTTTTAATATAATTAACGTTTCAAACTATTTTTTTAAAGTTCGTATAAAATTATAGTTAGATTCGTTTCCTTTTTGTTCGATTGAAATTCAAGTTTCAATTACACCTTTTTACATAAAAATTTTCATCGGTTTCTATGTATATTTCAACCTTTGGTATTCTACAATCTAGCAGTTGCCCGCAACTTTGGCTGTGCGGATTAAAAAAATAGAATTATATATGGCCTATGTCACCCGAGGATAGTGTTCCCGATTGTGGAAGAATTTTGCAAATTAGTTTAGTAGTTACGAAGTCTATTCAATCCAAGACAACAAGCAATCAAATTTTCATTATAATATTATAAGCAAAATATTAATATTTAAATAGTATTTTTTACTTATATGCTTATTTTTGATTACATGTACAGTTGTGAACACAAAGCTCTATACAATAAACAGTAACACGTTCTAACTTTAAACAGTACACTCGCGCTCAGTTAATCTGCGTTAAGTTCTAATTTGCATAACGACAGATCAAATAACATTTGTCACCATTGTAAACATCGAATTGTAGTACATTTAATTACAGAGAAATTGTAAGGATTCAATGTAATTAATTTAATTATTCGCGATTTAAATTGTTACATTATTATTCTTAATAACATATTGAACATAGTCTGGAAGAACACATAGGTTATTTGTAATTTATATTTGCTCCCGTGTGGACGAAGTCGCGCGTGTTAGCTAGTAGAATATAATATGTATAAAGATTTTTTACAAGTAATTATAAAATTTGGAATTTACAGGTGGTACAATATAAAATGTGTTTGTCTATGGAAAGGAATAACGTTAGCTTATACAAAATAATAAAGGTATCCCGTTCAGTTTAAAAAATAACTTTTTCAACAAACTTAAACAACGCTAACAAGCCGACAATTCAACTGGAGATGAGTATTCTCAACAAAGCGGCAGAAAATTTATCATACGGCCAACCTCTGACGTTTGTGTGCTGTGAATAACTTACTCCGCAACGAAATCATATTACATCTGTATCCTCTGAGGCGATATAACTTCTACTGTCCTTTGTTGTAGGATTTATAAGAGATGTATATTATATGCCTTTTTTCATATGAAAGTTGTGTTTTTGCGTATAAAAATTGCATTTATAGATTCAGTGAGGCTTCGGTTCTATAAAAAAATCCAGCTTGATACCTTCACGCCTTTTTGAGAAAACACGCCTTCTTGACAGACGGACGGAGGGACAACAATGTGATCCTATGAGAGTTCCGTTTTTTTCCTATGACGTACGGAACCCTAAAAATGAACTAAATGTTATTTAATCCGTTTTGTAGTCACTCAATTCGAGCATCTGTGATAGAAAGTTGATTTAATCAAAATACAATGCGTCTGGCTCGACCGATTTCCATTTATATTCTGCCCTAGAATACTAAGTAAGGCTAGGTTTCTTATTTTTTTCATTAATTATTAGTTTATTTTTTTCAATCGAATATTTCAAGGTCACGTTAACGAATCAGCGTTGCGTATTTTTATAACAAACACGAACAATTTGTTAAGCAATAAAGGCCGTTTGAAATTTATTAGAAGGCAGCGCACGTTCGGCAAGCACTCGCAGTAATGGCGGATCAAGTGGATCATACGTCAGCGCCAGATGTGCCCCACGTTTACTCATATAATGGATGTCTTTATTTATTGACGGCACCTCTCAATGCAATAAAGTCGCTTTACACTGCACTTTAACTATTTAAAGTAACTTATAACAACAGTTCAAACTTTACAAGATAACTAATGAAGGGGAAATTTTATATAACAATAAGTCGAAGGGGAAAAATGAACACCATTTATAAAATTATCCATTAGCCAATGTTTCAATTGTGCTACAAGTCATTATTATATGTTTATGTTGTTATAGTATTTATAATCACAAACTATGACAAATCAGCGGGGCTAGAACAAAGTGCATTCGTTCCGAAGCGATTCCATAACGAATTTCAAAAGTAAGTTTAACAGTGGTAGAGCCCGCTTTAACATCTTCGTACGAATCGGCCCGGCTCGCCCGGTGAAATACCACGACCACACAGAAGACAGGCGTCAAGTGGAAGCAATTCCGCGTACAGTCTGATGAGTGTGCGTCCCGGAGGCCTAATTTAGTCCTCTTTCCCTTCCCACCCTTTTTCTTAGAAGGAAAGGATGGGAAGTGGAAGTGGACTTTCCGGATGACAGGATGCATGGGAAGGGAAAATATTTTCTTTCTGTGCATCCTCTCCTCCGTCGATTAAAGGTAGGCAACGCATATGCGATTGCGTATGTCTATGGGCAACGGTCACTTCGCTATTTCAGCGATTTCGGGTGGCCGATTGCTCGTTTGCCACCTTTTAGTATAAAAAAAAAGTATAGAACTGACGCGCGCCAGTCACGTGACTTATCTAAAGTTATTGTCAGTTCTATACAATTTTGAAGTTCGTTATGGAATCGCTTCCGAGCGAATGCACTTTGCCTAGCCCCGCAGATCGCTTAGTTTCCATCACATTCATGCCGTTATTTATACAATGGTACTAAAAACAAAAACTTCCTTTTCACGGAACATAGTTATGTAATTATTAATTTTGACGCCAACGCCTGTGCGAAATTCCAGTTACAGTTTCGTAACTTGATAACCAATTAAGGAGTTTTTGCTCAAATTTGGACGGATAGTCGCTTTATATTAAATTTAACCAGTTTAAATCAGTTTTGACTGAATAGTTAATAGAACAATAACTAAACCTTTGTTATGTTTGACTAGCTAATGCCTACGACATCGTCCACACGAATTAAAAAAAAAACTTAGTGCCTGACGTTTGAATGTTGTGTACATAATTAATAATAAACGTGCATTCATCTAATTCAAAGATTTAATCTAAATTCAAAGATATATGTGAAGTCAACCAGCGTGGTTGACTATGGCCAAATCACCCTTAACTTAGGGTAGGCTCCGAGCCCCTCAGTGGGGACGTATAGTGAGCTGATGATGATGATGATGATTCATCTAATCTTTAGCATTTATAACATTGGTAAGATTTATATCACTAAACACATTACAACTTAAAAAATAAAGCACTTTACACGTAAAAATTATAAACGACAATAATACAAAGAAATTCAAAGTAGGTCACAACTTGACGTAAAGTATTCAAGATGCGAACAATACATCTCAATGCAGTTCCACGATCAAAGCTTTTGAGTTTTGAATAAAAACTAAACTGAGAAACGTACGAAAATATTCCTCGTCAAAAAGAAACTAAGCAACATTGAAAAATTAAAAAAAAACTAGTTTGTATAAAGTATAACATGATTAGTAGCTTTTTCATATAGTAAAAAGTAATATTACGATATAATAAGAAATTCAATTTAATAATTCTAATATTATAAATACGAATGTTTGTTTGAAGGCATCTCCAAAATAGCTGCATGGATCTCGCTTAAATTTGGCATAGATTTAGAACATAGTCTGGAAGAACACATTAATAATTCCGCGCGGACGGATTCGCGGGCTACAGCTAGATAACAGTAATATTAAAAACAAAAAAACCTTCACCGATAATAAGATTCGCTTATTATTCATTTACCTTAATTTTGGAATCAAAAATTAAAAAAAAAACATCTACGTATTAGTATTTTATGAGCAGAAAACAAAAAAGCTACGGGTGAAGCTTCGTGAACAAGAAGGCTATAATAAAAAGCTTTCTTATTTGCGAAAAGCTTTCTCCCCGTACATATTGTTTACTGTTTTGCATAATTCCATTAGGGAAAGGCGAGAACATATAAATATTTGTTTCTCTAAGTACAAATAAAAAGGTCTCCTTGTTTATGAGGCTAATGTAGGCTGAGTACAATTTACGATTCATAATATCATACAAGTAAGGCTTTCATTATCGCGTTGAATATCACAAAATTTAAAAATATAGTATCTTTTGAATCTTCTACTTCTTGCTTTCCTTCAAAACATCTTTTTACTACGTGATGAAGTTAAAACTTTATCACTCAGTCAGAAGCTCAAATATTGACTTTCAAGTATAACTTATACATGTCTGAAAATTCAACAAAAATACTATCCGCAGTCATAAACACCTGCAGATATAAAGTCCAGCTTTTTGGCAACCGTACTGTGGAATCTCACTGAACATTTAAAACCGACCTACATGTCTAGAATGCATTTTATATCACAAAAACGTTCCGAAACGCGACACATCAAAAATGTTTTTAAAAAAAATCTGTAAAACGAAAACACGTCTGACATAGTTACTAAAAATACAGGATGTTCTGCGTACGCCAGCAAATGTTTGTTGCCTATAGAATCTAAAAAATTGCGTTAACTTTTTGCTTGCACTAAAAATAATTTTACATTTAAATTAAGATTTTTTTTTAATCTGGGAAGTTTAAATTTGGTTTCAGCTATTTATAGCTTTAGGTAGGATAAAATTTTGATTAGGAAAAATAAATTTACCGGTTTTAACATTTTTAAACCACGTAGACTAACTCAAGTGTGGATAAAAATGCATCCAGAAAGCTCTTGATTTGGTTCTCCACCGATACTTGTCTCGGGCGCTACAAAAGCTCTTCAAAACCGGTCAAGTATGTCACCTTTAAAATTCTATACAAAATTCTGCAACCCTGGTATTTCATTAATATTTATTAACTAACAAAAGTCTCATTTATTTAGTCATAATGAGCTCTGGCCTTTTATCTTAAACGAATAACTTACGAATTCATTGTACCGTAGCCTTCGATACGATTGTGTTTTGGCACGAAGTAATATTTAAATTAAATATTTTATATTTCAGTATTTTAAATTCCATTTTCAAGTTAAAAAAAAATAAAAACATGAAACGCAAAGTTAAAAACAAAAGAACATCGTGATAATAGGCCCTTCGAAAGAACGATTCTCCGCAGTCTGATCGTAAAATTGTTTAAACAAAAAACACACAAATATATATTTTACTTACGTAATATATTTAATGTTTTATAAAACGCTTATACCAAATGAAGTTCACAGATTGCTTAATTTATGAGATGCGTACTCAAAGTTACATCTTACTATATCTATTGACATTCCAATCAAGAATTATTATTAATTTACACAACTTAGTTTCAGTCGCTTATCTTCTTATATATGCAGTCATATTATGGCCTTTCTCAATCTCGCAAACGAAAAAACATTTAAGGTTTTCGCAGTTGACGTCATTCAAACGCCCGTTGTAGAGCATGGCGCCACATCTCTCTCCTTCACCGTCAACCTGATAGTCATCCCATACCGAGTATCCCGCTTTCTGCAAGGATTCCCCTGTGAAGGTAAACATTAACATGTTATCATTATTACTCTGTCCTGAGAAAAGTATATATTTGAAAGAAGTTATGTGTGGGAAAGGAGTGAATTCAGTTATGAGGCATATGGAAGAGTATATGCTCTGTGCCGACACACCGAAGTTAATCGGAATGATGAGAATCAATATATCTATATCATTATCCTTAGGATCGACGCACAAAGTTCTTGTACTTCATTATGCATATCAAGACCAAATTCAGACAATCTGCCTCAGTACAAATTTAAACTGCTTTAAAAAAAAATCACCTGTAATCGTTCTCCAGTCATTTTCAGTAGCATCATAATTGTATCCTAAATGTACATAGGGACACAAGTACCACCCTCGCACCATATCCTTAGGGGTATTGTTTGATATGTTGACGAGATAATTAGCTTCCTCCACGGTATTGATAATCGCTAATTTTGCTTGCTCGTCGTCGCACGCTTCAACCGCCTCCCTCCAGTTCAATCGTTGCAAATGAAATTTGTAACAACTGCCCGTATCAGCGTTGTATATGTAATCTACAAATAAAATAACTTAGATTTTAAAACATTAGCACCATGAGTGTACAATTAAGTATATCTTACTTTCTTAATTAAGTTACTTATTCTAATTATAGTCGTCCTTTTTCTTAGCTTTTTATTAAAGAATGAGTATAACGATAAATTTTTGTACCTTTGTAAGGAACGTCACAATCTTTGCTCCACTCTATTGAGGACGCTTTCTTTTTGCATACGAACGGTCGCTCTTCGGAACATTTGATGTCATTCAAGAAACCTTCGCGCGACAATGTGACGCAACTATTTCTTCCATTGGCACCACTCGGTACCTTCCTGTACCACTCATTAAACACGTTACGGATAGGTTCTCCTAGAAAACACAAAAAAAAATAGTAGCATTGATTCCCTTTTGTTTTATTATCTACGTAAACCTAATTCAATTGATATTAAATTAGCCATCAGTCCCAAAAAATGGTTTTTCGCATTTCTGACTAAGTACAATAAATCACGTTGAGCTTACGAGATCAAGCTTTACATGTTCCATGTACAATCATGTTCCGAACATTTTTTTTAAATCGCCTCTATTATTAATTTTGTCTTATTTGACTGACTTTAAAGAACTCTTAAATATTTTGATTATTTTGCAACGGTCACTATAAAATGCTTACCATCGACTGTCATGTACAATCCACTAGCTAACCGCGTAGATATACCAACAAACATATATTGGAACCACGGCTGAGTCTGGTTCAGATAGCGAGTCACTTCGTGAACTTCGTCCTCGTCTTCAGGGTAAAAAAGCGATGCACCTTCCATAATACATTTCCGTCTCGCACTTTCCCATTGCATTGGCACTGGATGTGCTTTATAGAAACTATCTTTGTGTTTCAAATATTTGTAATCGTTTCTAAAAAATATTTCCTTCGATTTCGATGCTGGAACTGCATACAATTGATATAATATCGGCGTAGGTATAGGATCTATTGGACGTGCTTCTTCAAAATAATTCCCCCCCCCCCCACATCGTCAGGATATAACATCGTGGACCGCGTCGCGACACCATAACGATGGCATGTTGAAGTAACATGCAAACTGACGTTACGGACCGGTATCACACTACGTTATTGGGATTCTTCCGAGATTTGGGCTGTTTTTTCCACACGAGTTAGCCGTAGACTTGCAAATAATGGAGCCCATGTAACTATCACGCTACGTAACCGTAAGTTTCTCGATGAAGATGCGGTGACTTGGCAATTATCCCTAAATATGTGTACACGTACTCTTTCCACACTATAACTAGCTAGTGTCGAGTCAAGTAGAGCAGAGTATATTACCAATAATTAAGTATTTAATTACGAGATACATACCACTAATATCGCTGTTAACCACATCGAATTGTGACTCATGTTCTTTGCAAATATATGGAAATACATGTGAACAATTGTCGTCATTGTATGTGCCATCAGCTCTTAGCACCACGCACTCCTCTTGTCCTCCTGCGTTATTTGGCTCTCCTGTGCCCCACTTACCGTAAACATCGCTCATATTTTTTCCTTCAAAATATTAAAAATGCTAAGTTCCAAGTATTAGCATGTTTTCTTGAATTATTACCCTATTTGTCTAATATCTATGGTGTACTGTTTGCAATTGTTAAATTAACCGTGAATTTCAAAGAGTGATTCAAACGTCATATGATAAGTAAAAGACTAATATTGTTCTATGTTTCTTTTCCAAAGTTGTAGAGCAATGGTTTAGGTTAGGTTAGGATATATCACCTTAGCTCTTAGATACCTGACCAAGAATGGTCCACTATCGTACATGTGTTACTATAGTGGACCGTTACATTATTTAAATAAGTAAAAGAGAAAGATTTGAGAGTCGGATGCAGTCTATTAACTGGCAAATAGCGAACAGTATATACCTCGTAGTAATTAAACATGACATTTAAACAAAAGCAGACAATTTCTTGTGTTTAGGATTAGGCCAACTCTATATCAATATTATTATAAACTGGTGATTAAGCGAAATACACTGAGAATCAGACCCTCATGATCACTTGGTCCTTTAAAAAAATCAATACATTAATAAAACATACTAAAACAAAATAAAATAAGTCTTTACCGTAAATTGTCGTAAATACGCCATTAAAATTTTCAGAAGTGATACCAACAAAGATGTATTTCAATTCCATCTCCTTCATAAGCTTTTTAGCTACATTTAATTCATTCTGATTTTTCGGATAGAACAATTCCAATCCTTTTGAAGCGCATGATTCCAATGCAGCACTCCATTGCAAATGCCGTGAGTATATTTTGTACTTAGTATTATTATATGTATAAGATAAAGTGTCTCGTCCATCTAGAAAAATATTAAAAGTTCTTCGTTGTTAAACAGAATGTAATACAGACTAAAAATTTTAAAATACTTTTTTTTGGCAAATCTAAGAAATAAACTAGTTTTTATACAGTGTGAAGTATTAATAATATTTAACTAATACTAAGTATTGTAATTGTAACCAAAAGTATTTTAAATGATACTGGCTTTCGCTCACCAAAAGCCATTTGTTAATTTTGATATATTAAAAAAAATTCTTAAATCTCTTTAAATTAAAATTAAATTATTGATATTAAAATCGACAAATAAATTAATGAATCTCATTTGTTTTATTATAAAATTATACTTACAACATGACACGAACATGAAAATTAACAAATAGACACTTCGTTTCATTTTAAAAAAGCATTTACTGCAATAAATTAGCGAGTTTCGAACACGAATGATAATTCACAACTGTGTGCATAACATATTTTCCCACTTTAAATAGACATTTGATAACTGACATCTATACAATTAATAACATTGAACTGTCTTTATGTATTATACTAATTTTGCAAACATCGTATTTGAGTTACTTATAACGAAAAATATTTTTTTGTAATTACTGTCTATCTGTCTGCAAATCCGCTTTGAATTCAGATAATCTCCGAAGTGGCTAAATCAATTTTGACTGGAAGGTATCATATATGCGGGACTTAGGCTTTTATTTTTATTTCAAGCTGACGAAATCGCGGGGAACCGCTAGTCAATAACTATACATAAACATTTTACGGCTGTTGGTAAATCCCAACAACATCGTATCTCCAGAACTAAATTTGTATATTATATTCCCCTCCCTTACATTCTCTTTGAAAACACAGCGACAACAATAAGATAACCCGCTGAACTACTTATCATATACAATGCATGTGTTTTTTTAATGATAAGGAACTTCGTCCGCGTTAAGGTTGTATTTTCAATCAGTCTGTTTTAATTTCTCAATTATTGTACTCATCGAAAAGACACTCCTAAATTGGGTAGGCTCTGAGGGCCTCGACGGAGTATTTTGTCATTACAACGTTAATAATTTTACTTGTAATTTTGTTAAATTTTCCGTAAGCGCCTGGCTAAAAGAAGCAGCAATGTTTTATAAACTAAAATCGTACCATTGCTGTTGATATTTTTTATTTCCTTGAAGTCCTTGGTGGGCAAGCATACTATTATGTTACTTTGTACTTATTATGTTTTCGTTGCATGCACAACACTTAAAATTAGGCTAAAGACAGATAGGACTAGGTATTTACTATATAATAAATTTGGATCTTCCTCAAAGCCTTTTTTAACGAAACTTGAATTCTCATGAAAGATTTTCCAACTGTTTGTTTAAAGATTAGCCGGGAGAAAAATCGGAGCAAACGTTATTTCAAGTTCGATAAAAGTACTTTTCTCTATAGATAAACTGTCGAAATCCTTTTTATAAAAAATATTTAAGAGTACGGCGTAAACGGTAGAATTAGCAGTATCAGCCCAGGTAGAGGTTGAGAGAGGACAACGGTAGGAATCTCTCGGTAGATGTAGAAGAAATAAAACTAGCAAATGCTGATTAGCAAAAAGTGATTTATGTGAAGAGATGTATCACCTTAACTAGATACCAAACATGATCCTTTAAACGATTTACATATAATAAAGATAAAAAAGTATAATTAAATTAGAATTTTCTTTAATTAAATTATGTCGTCTAAGAAGTGGTTAATATTATTTTTTTAATACTCGTATATTTAAGAAATACGACATAAAAATTCAAACACTTATATTGTGGAAAGTATTAACACATCAGTCTTCTTAAATAAATAAAATTATATAATGTACTAATTTGTTATTAATTTCTGTCTTATCATTTGTAATAGTTCTGAAGGTGGTATATTTTTGATGTGTTCATTTATTAAAGGAACTAAGTGATTCCTTACAGCTTCGACTATGACTTGTTTATGTTCCGCAAGGATTTGATCTCCAGCTTTGTCGAGAATTTCGTTAACCGGCCAAGAAATATTCTCCAAATAAACCTAAAAGAATAACGAAATTACGATCGAATTGTAAAAATCCAAGTACAATCTATTATTACTTAACTTGCAATCTACAGGTCCTGGGTTCGAATCCCGCCATGTACCAATGTGTTTTTCGATTTCCGATTTACATATGTACATTTATCCGACGTTCTTACGGTGAAGGAAAACATCGTGATGCAACCTGGACATATCTGAGAAGAAATTCAAAGATATGTGTGAAGTCAACTAACCCGCACTAGGCCAGCGTGGTTGACTATGCCCTATTCACCCTTAACTTAGGGTAGGCTCCGAGCCCCTCGGTGGAGACGTATAGTGAGCTGATGATGATGATGATGAAGTACAATCTTACTAACATTATAAATGCAAATGTTTGATAGATGGATGTTTGTTTGAAGGTATCTCCAGAAATCTAGCATAGATGTAGAACATAGTCTAGAAGAACATGTAAGCTACTAATTAAGTTATTTTAATACCGCGCGGACGGAGTCGCGTGCAACAGCTAGTATTTAAATACATCTTTTAGTAAAAAATGTAAATAAATATTATTAATTTCAAATTTATAATATAAATTTACATGTTTTTAAAAGTGAACTTTATACTAATGTGTTAAGTGTCATTATAACTTACATCAAATTCCTGGACGTTGTAGTTTATTGAAAAGTTAAGTATTTTTGTACCATTTTTATTATTTGTACCAAACTGTACGTTAATCCATACAACGGGTTCACGCAATACTAATCTGAAATTGAATATAAAATATTAATATATTCCTTATCATTATTAATTAAACTAATTTCGATTTATTACTCTTATTTCACTTACCGCATTATTCCAGTCCCTTCGATGGTGTAAAAGTAAAACGCTTTGCCTTGAAGGTTATAATAGTCTGAAAATAATCGTACACTTTTGTTTTTCATTTTTTTTAATATCACGATGCAAACCTGCACATTTCTGCGAGAAAATTCAAAATATATTTGTGAAGTCAACCAACCCGCGCTTAGCCAGCGTTGTTGACTATGGCCTAGTCACCCCTAAGCTTATGATGATAAATTCATATAACTGTTTGAATTTTTAAACTTTACCCGACTGACTTAGGAGGGTATTGTATATGTCTCTTGTATGTTTGGCTTTAACATGATTTTATGTTATTTATGAGTTTATGTGAAAGTTAAATATATTTTGACCTCCTGTAGCGTAAACAACTGAACCGATTATGACAAACGATGTGTTAAGCCGTTTATCCACCAACACCGTCACCGGCAC